CAGGTACTTGGGGTTAGGACTTCAACATATCTTTTTGGAGATACAATTCAATCCATAACAGGCCCTATTCATTCCCCATGGCCCCTAGGAATCAGAAGTTTTTAAAAACACATATAGTAGTATTAGACTTTAAAGTCTTACGTTAGCATTCTGCAAGACACTTCCGTTTACTAAATGTATTGCCTGCTCTCCATATGTCATCTACTGTGCCAGGTGCTGAGGATATACAAAGATGATTAAAATATTGATCCTACCTCAGTGAGATTACAGTCCATTTGAGGGCATCAGAGTTGAAATCAAGTCAATCAAGAAATATTTATTGAATTAATGCTATGTGTTAAGGATTTAGAAGTTTATACCAGGTACCTGGGAACTCAAAGTGGGGATCATCAGTTCTATGGGATCAGAAAGCCTTTATAGAGAAGGTGATGCCTGAGCTGTCTTTAAAGATAAAATAGTGTTCCCCTGTTGAAAGAAGGGCAAGAGGACATTTTAGGTTGGGTGAGTAGAAATACAGTAACATGAAACATCCTGTACAATGCTGTCACATTTATTACTTTTTTTTTTTTAAGCAAGGAAACAGAGAGATTAGTTAAGTTTTCCACAGAGTCATACTTGTCAGTGGCAGAGCTAAAATCATCCTTTGTCTTGTTTGATTCTGAGGTCCATATTATGACTTTCATGTCCCAGTTTTCTTCCTTGTTTTGAATAACCTCTACCAAATTCTGACAGCTTTTTAGTGTTGTGTAACAGCTGTGTTCTGGTTATTCTGTGATATTCATGATACTTTTCTGGCATAGACTTTACATTATGTGGGTTGATACTGTTTGGGAAACTTCACCATAGTGGCCCAATGTTTATTGTGTGTTTCTAAATGGGTAAGTTACTGTTAGAGTATGCCAAAGAGATGTGGACACAACCAGAGAGAGTGTCCAATGAAGGGTATTTTTCCGACTTTCATTGACCAAGACGTTTACCTTAAAAAAAAAAAAAAAAAAAAAGTGTGTGTGCGTGTGTATTTTTAAGTAATCCATAAAATGAGAGCCTTTTGTGGTAATGAGACCCAGATTTCCTTCTGTGTCTGTATCCCTTTATGCAGGCATGATTTCTTGGAAAGGAGAGTCCATATGTCAAACAGTGTCTCATTGAGAACAAGGAATGATTCCATAGATGCTGTGGCAGTGATTAGAATCTTAAATATTTTGTCCTCTCTGGATCAGTGGGTGCTTGGTTCCTTATCAAATCAGCTGCCTCAGTGATTGGGAAGGCAGGATGGTAAGAGCTTTTAGATCACTTATTGTACTTGGATGCATTTGAATATTAATAGTTTGTCCAATATATAAATCAGAGGGACATTTGAATTAATTTACAGTGTTTTAAATGGCCATTGCATGTTTGTGGAATTTATTGTCATAAAAATTACACAAAAGTTGTAGCCCTGAGTGGCTACCTATATTTAAAACATAAATAAAAAAATATTTATTCTGAGGAAACTTTGGGTTTTTGTTTTGTCTTTGAGCCTCTTAAAACATTGTTGGAAGTAGGATCTTTTTTCACATAACTGAGTCTTACAGTTCATTCCTGTTTTTCTCTGCCCCTTCCCACCCCCTGCCTCCAACTTCTTCTCACCAACAAAACTATCTGTAACCTTTTTAACCCCCAGAGCAGCACTAGGAGCACAAACCTCTGCTCTTCGTTAGGTGTTAGGAACATCATCACTGCTTACTGGAAAAGCACACCCCAGAGAGCCAGGTTTTGACTTTGGCAGGTAAAAAGTCTTTCAGATCTCGGAATGCTGGAAACCTTAAACCTTTTGGCTTTTTAGCTAAAGTGATTGGCAACAGAATGTGACATCTGAGGTTGCATGGCCAGCAATAGCCATAATTAACCATATGAGCTCACATTTTCCCACTGGAGGTTCAGTGGTCTTGGGGTGATGAAAGTAACTTCCCTACCAGGAGGTGGTTTTCCTTTTGAGGGTATTCGAATACCCTTGGGCCCTGTAATGCTTCACCTGTGGTCCTTTTAAAATGGTTTTTAATATAAAGCCTCAGTATTGGAAATCCAACACCACTGTGTTTAATAGTGAGGCTATGACTGAGCCCTGTGGCCTAGAGTGGGAAACCATCTAAGATTTTTAATAGGTGGAACAGGGAGTCTTGTGGGGAGTGTGAATAACCTGGATCAAAACTGATTTCCAGTATTATCCAATTTTCAGTTTTTTGCTATTTCTTTTTGGTTTCTGATTTCCATGTGTAGCCTTCTCTCTGAAATGCATTTTTATCTTTAAATCTACATAAAATTGTTTTGATGATTGGGGGGAGGTGATATTAGAAGACCATTTTCTGTTCTTTGAAATAGAAATGTGGATGTATTATCAAAATATGCAAATGTAGTTTTGTAGTATCACCCCTTTCAAAAAAAAAAAAAAAAACGTATTGCTGTCGAGTCAATTCCGACTCATAGTGACCCTATAGGACAGAGTAGAACTGCCCCATATGATTTCCAAGGAGCGCCTGAGTGGATTCCAACTGCCAACCTTTTGGTTAGCAGCCATAGGTCTTAACCACTACATCACCAGGTTTCCAGTCACTCCTTTAGTAATATGGAAAAAAGATAGATGTTTGAGTGGTTGGCGCTAGATAGATTTTTTTTTAAATACTTATAGTTTGCATTTGACCTGTTTGGAAGGCTAATTATGAGGCCTGTTGCTGCTTTCTGGAAGTTTTCAAATCCTTTTCTGTCAGGTTGTATAGGAAGGGAAAAGCTTAGTGTAAAGCACATATAGGAGGTACAAACTATAAGTCCTTCTCCCTCTTCCCTTTCCCCTCAAAAGAAGGTTCTTAAAGACCAAGTCCTTTCACTGTTAAGAATGTTTTTAATTTGATAAGCCCTATTCTTTACAGAAAGCAGGAGGCAGGATTCAACAACCTCTGAAGGAAGTCCCAGTCCCAGCTGTGACTCCAGGGATAGATAGGGAGCTGGGGTGTAGACGTAATTCTCCCACTTATTTCATCACTCATGATTTCTACTTATGTGGCTTTAACCAAGCCATTTATACCCCCGAATCTCATTTTTCTCATGTCTAAATTTATAGGGTCAGATTCAGTGATTTCTAAGGTTTCTCTTAGCTTTAATATTATATGATGATGAATTTATAAGAAATCCTAATGTAAAGTACTTTTAGTCCCTAAGGTAGTATAATATACAGGTTTCAACAGAAATAATATGTTGTAGTGGTACTGAAGATACTTGGGTGGAACTAGGGGAAGAATACATGTTCTTTAAAGATAATTAGGACTCTAGTCATTTAGGGCATGACTCAGCAGTCATTTGAAGTTTCATGAGTTTGTTTTGAGAGAATGTCTTTACCAGCAGGAAACATTAGTTGAGAGCCCATTCTCTGTCAGGCATGCGGTAAGTCACAGAGGACTCACAGACTTTGTCATGTGGTCCTTGCCCTTACTAGAACAGTATGAAGAAACTAAGGTATTACACATGTGTCATATGCTTGATACATTTTAGTTTCCAAGTTAAAACATTGTTATATATTCCACAATCAAGTTCTGAGACAGTATGATAGAGTGGTTAATGACAGTCTTTGGCCAACCTAATTACTAGCTGTTTTATTTTGGGCAAGTTCCTTAACCTCTTTGAGCCTTAGTTTCTTCATCTGTAAAATGAATGAAATAGCATATATAAGGTGCCCAGTTTAGTAACTGTTGGTGAATTAATGACTGTCACATATAAAGTACTATGGACAATTCCTGGCAGAATAAAAGAATTTTTTAAAGGTTATCAGCTTTTATGGGATGATCAAAGAGAAACCAAGGGTGTGCCATAGTAGTAATCAAGGGTGGAGAATTCACTGAGGAAGGGATGGTTATTGTGACATTCCTACAATAAAAAGTTAGGGCTTAGATAAGTAGGTACAAATGTATGAGAAGAATGCTAAAAATACTACCCTTAGATGCAGGAAATAGTCGAGCCAAGGTCATCTTGATCATTTTAGCCCCTCTCTGTCCAGCTGGGGTATTCCAGATTATGTGTTAATTTTTTTTGAGCAAGAGAGGAGAGAGAAAGTGTATGTGTTGGGGGGAAGGGAGGTGGGTAGGTGGGTATGCACCCCCACGTGCACATGCATATATGCACATGCATGTATGCGCACGCATGCACACTTTAGAATATTTTGGGAATACTGTATACCAAGCAGCTTTTTCTTTCTCCTGGGGAAAGCTGAAAACTTTTTATTGTATTACTCATAATTGTGAGTACCTGAATGATCATTTGTCACTCGGTAGGTGGTGGCAGAAATCTGAATGGGCATTTTAAAATGTAATTATCTGTGGCTTCTTAAAAGCTACATGTTATGTCTGACTATAGGATTCATGCATTATTTCCAAGAGTTGCCTCCACCTAAATTACATAAACAGGAAACATTTTTCCTCTTCTCCTATCTCAAACTTCACAGACTTAGTTATGCAACACTGTCTTTACCAATATCAAGAACATACCCCATAAGGATGTATTAGGCTATTTAACTTCACTTCAGAATTAATAATGTTGTACTGTTTTGCCTTGAACGTTGTTAATGAATAAAATGTTTTATGCTTATATAGTGCATTATGTTTAAACCTCCAAAACTATTTTTCACATCATGTGATAGACTCGAGTATTATATGCCCCTTTAAAAATGCTGAGAAGAAAGAAAGTAATAGATATTTGAGTGTTCTAGAAACTTTTTCTTAAGATAGGTATAAAATGTTCATCGCATCACATTTATTACTGGGAAATAATTTTGAAATATAGTAGATGAAATTCCAAGGCTTGTTAATGTGCTTAAATTCGTATAAAATTCATATAATTTATATAAGTGATTAGTATTTTATATACAATTTATTTCTTGATAAAATCTCTTTTAAAATTTATTTGTTATTATCTCATAGCTACATATATAAGTTAAATAATTGTTTTCTTCTTCTCTGCTTTTTAATTTACAGCAAAAGATGATGGAAGCATTGCTGTTGCCCTTGGTTACACTGCACATTTGGTCTCCATGATTTCCTTTTTCCTACAAGTACCCCTCAGATATCCTATAATTCATAAAGGATCTAGATCAACAATCAAAGATAATATTAATGACAAGCTGACTGAAAAGGAGAGAGAGTAAGTGTCTTTTTTTAAAATGCTTTAAACATCAAGCCAATATGAAACATGAGATATTAAAAATATAAAATATGACCTAAATCGTGGCAATTTTATTTAACTCTTGTAAAGTGCTACATTTCTTTTAAACAGAATGTAGTCATTCATTTAAATTTTAATTGCTCATCTACTTTACTTCCAAAAATTGCTAATGAGACTCATTTAAGTCTCATTTGCTTTCCTTTCACCTTTTTGGGACAAATATATACTTTACAAGTATTCATGTAGTACTTGTTGCCTGCCAGTCAGCAAGTGAAATGGTGAAAGGATTTCTCAGAGAGCAAACCAGGAAACAGAGAAAAGATTTAACAGCAGGTTGGACATTGCTGAATTTAGTGAACTGGAAAATAGACCAGTAAAATTAACCTGACCAAAGCATAAAGAACAAAGTGATGGAATGTCTAGAAAAGTGTTAGACTTATGGGACACAACTAAAAGGTCTAATGTACATATAATTGAGTCACAGAAGGGGAGAAAAGAGAGCAGGAGGAAAATGTAATATTTTAAGAGAAATGACTGAGTTTTTCAAATTTGGAAAAAAATCAAGCTACATATTAAAGAAACACTAAATACAAAGCAGAATAAATACAAAGAAAACGTATTAGGGAAATGATAATAAAACAGCTGAAAATACTAAAATACTAAAAGAAAAACATTAGCTTGCTTCAAAGGAGCAATAATAAGACTGTCTTCTAATTTATATTAGACTCTAATAAATCAGTATACATATTGTAATCTTGTAACCACTGAAGAAATTGTTTTGTAAAAGCAAAAAACTAATAGAGGAGATAAATGGAAAAATAATAAATCCTTGACTAATCCAAAGGAAGGCAAGAAAAGAAAGGAAAATGAACACTAAACAATTGAAACAAACAGAAAACAAATAATAAGTCTGTAGATATAAGCCCAAAGTTATCGTGTGATTATATTCAATGTAAATTATATTAATACTCTACTTAAAGATTGTCAGACTGATAAAAAAAAACTAAAGTCAGTCTGCTTTCAAGAGACACCTTAAATAAAAGAAAAAGAGATATTTAAATAAAAGAGTTGGAAAAAAGGTGTATTATGCAAATATTAACTAAATGAGAGCTGGTATAATTATACAGGCTGTGCCCAACTTACAATGCATCTAAGTTATGATAAACCACACTCAACGACCATCTGGTTTTTTTTTTGGTGATTTGTGGCTTTTTTTATGTATGTATGTATTAAAATATATCTGTAAGTTTATATGTAATGTTTCCAATCCCCAAAGACAAAGAAAGATTAGATTTATAAAGATGCTGATAATAAAAAGCAATAATAATGAAAACTAAAAAAAATTAGGTATTCATCTTAGAACCTGCTTGCAACAGTCATTGGAACAGAACCCTGTTGTAAGTCAGGGAATACCTGTACTAATATCAGACAAAGTGAAATTTAAGTCGATTTAAATAAAGTGGGGGCAGTTTATAGTGATAATACAGTCAAATCTTAATATGTGTGTACTTAAAAGCATTACTTCAAATATATACCATATTTTTACGCAAATAACCTCCATGTTGCACGTTTTTTTGCTATCTGCACAACTCCTTCCCCCCACCCCGCTATTTTTTTAAGTGTGCTATGCCCTGCATTATATGTGTGGGCGCAGTATTTACACGGGTGCCTTATTTGCAAAAAAAAAAATATGGTAGGCAAAAACTCACAGAACTACAAGAAAATCTACAGTCAGTAGCAGGGGACTTTACATTTCCTTTCAATAACTGTTAGAACAAATAGACAAAAAAATCAGGATAAAAAGACCCCACAATACAATTAATAAGCTTGACCTATGTTATGTATAAAGAACATTGCACCAGATGGTTGCATAATACATGTTTTCAGATACACATAGGACGTTAACCAAAATTGATGATATGTTGGACCTCAGTAGATTTCAAAAGATTGAAACAATTCATAATATGTTCACTGACCACAGTGGAATTTACAACTATGTGAATATTAAACAGTATACTTATAACCTATAGGGCAAAGAAGGAACCATAATGTAAATTTAAAATTACTTTTAATTGAATGATAATGAGAATATAGCATATCAAAACTTGTGAGGTGCAGCTAAATCTGTGGGCATATATTAGAATAATAGAAAGATTTAAAAATTAATCATTTAAGTATCCATCTGAAGAAGCCAGAAAAAAGAACAGTGAGTTAAGCCCTAGGCAAGTAGAAGGAAGGAAATAATAAAGTTAATAGCAAAGGTTAGATAGACAGCTGTACAATGGAAAAAATAATAAAAGCAAAAGTTACAGTCAGTAAAACAGCTAGAAAATTGATAAGCCCATAGGAGGACTAATTTAGAAACCGAAGAGACAAGAAGTTACCAATGTGAGGAATGAAAAACAGACTTCACTACAGATATAAAAAAGACCGCTAGTCACTGCCGTTGAGTAGATTCTGACTCACAGCAACCCCATAGGACAGAGTAGAATGCCCCGTAGGACTTCCAAGGTTGTAAATCTTTACAGAAGCGGACTGCCACATGTTTCTCCTACGGAACGGCTGGTGGGTTCAAACCACCAACCTTTCGATTCGCAGCTGAGCGCTTTAACTACTGCAACACGAGGACTCCCTTCACTGCGGATACATACTTATTAAAGGATAAGAGAATCTATGAACAACTTTATGCTAATAAATCTGAAAATTCAAATGAGCTGTCTAAATTTCTAGAAAAACACAACTTTCCAAAACTGATACGTGAGTGATTGGAGTTTAGAAAATACTGCATAATGCTAAAGGGAAGTGGATGTAGAATATTTAGGTAAGTTATTCTCGACCAGGTCTGGTGGTGCAGTGGTTAAAGTGTGTGGCTGCTAACCGAGAAGGCGGTGGTTTGAACCCACCAGCCATTCTGCAGGAGAAAGATGTGGCAGTCTTCGTCCATTAAGATTGTAGCCTTGGAAACCCTATGGGGCAGTTCTACTCTGTCCTACAGGGTTTTGCTATGAGTCGAACTGGACTCAGCGGGAATGGATTTTGGGTTTTATGGCTGTACATTAGAGTCACCATGGGAGCTTTTAAAAATAATCTTTTGGCCCCCAGGTTTCTAGTCTGTCCCCTAGAGATTTTGATTCAGTGAGTGGGGCTCAGGAATTAGTTTTTTCTTAAAAGCTCTTCAAGTGATTCTAATATGCAGTCAGGTTTGTGAACCACTGTTCTAGGTCATGAGAGTGTGTTCATGGTTGTGAATAAGTGAACTGCCCCCCAGCATATTCAGGAAACTTCAAGCAGTTCAGTCTCACTGTAGTTTAGGAGGCAAAGTGGGGTGTAGAAAGAGAAAAGGCAGGAGAGGTAGGCAGCAATGGACAAACGTAATACTGTATCTGGTGGAACAGTGTGTCTCAGCTTAGGGGTGAAGGCAGCCAGCGCATGTGTAGTTTAAATCAGTGCCTTTTCTGAAAGCATTAATTCATAATCCAAGCATTATTCTCAAATTTAAAGGAATTTAAAGAGAGCCTGAAATTTATGTTTGACAAAAGGGGATATAGATTCCTTCTTTTTTTTTTTTTTGAGATGAAATTCACGTAACATTGACTTAATGATTTTAAAGTGTACATTTCAGTGGCATTTATTACAGTCATAATGTTGGACAACCACCACCTCTGTCAAGTTGTGAAACATTTTCGTCACCCCGAAAGAAAACCTCATTCCTGTCAAGTAGTCACTTGCTACTCTCCAGTCCCCCCCGACTCTGGCAACCACCAGTCTGCTTTTCGTGTCTATGGATTTACCTATTCTGGATATTTCATATAAATGGAATCATAAATATGTAGCCTTTGTGTCTGGTTTCTTACACTTAGCCTACTGTTTTCGAGGTGCATTACATTGTAGCGTGTATCAGTACTTCATTCTCTTTTATGGCTGTGTAGTATTCTGTTGTATATATATACCATGTTCTGTTTATCCATTCATCTGTTGATGGGTGTTTGAAATATTTCCACCTTTTGGCTCTTGTGACTAGTGCTGCTATGAACATTTTTGTATTTGTTTGAGTCCCTGTTTCAGGTCTTTGTGGTATATATCTAGGAGTGGAATTGTTGGGTTATATGGTAATTCTATGTTTGAGGAACCACCAAACTATTTTCTACAGAGGTTGTGCCATTTTACATTCCCACTAGCAATGGATGAGGTTTCCGGTTTCTTCATTTTCTCATCAACACTGGCTGTTTTGTTTTTCTGATCATAGCCATCCTAGTGGGGGCGACCAAACCAAAAAAAACTCACTGCCGTTGAGTCAATTCTGACTTGTAGTGACCCTATAAGACAGAGTATAACTCCCTGATAGGGTTTCCAAGGAGCGGCTGGTGGATTCGAACTGCCAGCCTTGTGGTTAGCAGCTGATCTCTTAACCACTGCACCACCAGGGATCCAGTGGGGGTGAAGTGGTATCTAATTGTTCTTTTGCTTTGCATTTCCATAATGACTATAGGGTCACTATGAGTCAGAATCGACTCGTTGGCAACAGGTTTGTTTTTTTGGTTTAACGACTAACGCAAGCCCTAGTGGCGCAGTGGTTAAGAGGTTGGCTGCTAATGAAAGGTCGACAGTTCGAATCCACCAGCTGCTCCTTGGAAACCCTGTGGGGCAGTTCTGGTCTGTCCTGTAGGGTCGCTATGACTCGGAATCAACTCGAAGGCAGCGGGTTTGGTTTTTTGGTTTAATGACTAATGATGTTGAGCATCTTTTCATGTGCTTGTTGTGTATGTTCTTTGGAGAAGTATCTATTAAAGCCCTTTGCCCATTTTTTTAATTGGGTTGTTTGTCTTTTTGTGGTTGAGTTACAAGATTTCTTTATTTAGTGTAGATACTAGACCCTTGTCAGGCAAGTGTGAAATAGGAGCCAACTTCATTCTAGTGAATGTGGAGATCCAGTTATCCCAGCACTATTTGTTGAAGAGACTTCTTTCCCCATTACTGGT